AAATTCTTCAGTGAAAACTGTTTTACTGTGCACTTACTACATGCACAATTTTTACACAAAACAAAAGCCTCGGGCATCAATAAACGCTGCTCCTTGCCAAAAAAAAAAAAAAGCCTCAACTGATTCATTCTAATGTTAAGAAAGAACGGATGTAGTACTTTGGAGTTTGGATTGAGTGGCAGCTAAGTGCCAACCCCTGAACCTGGCTCACACCGGCTTCCTGCCTGACATCCCAGTGCACTTCCGGCCTGCAGGCTCAGAACATGCCCTTTTCCACCCATGCTATGACCCTGCTCTGTTTCACATTGGGGACCTTATTTCTCCTGCAAACAAACTAATAAGGGGAATGGAAAGAATGCAACTAGGTTTTATGCTTCTATGACCTACAGTCTTTTAGCACACCGATGATTATGTTTGTTAAATGAGTTTTTTATTCTCTTCTGTAACAAATTAGGATCCTACAGTATTTTAAAAAAACAAATATTTCCCCCTTCAATATGTGTCTATGTCTATTTAAGTGTAAAGACACCGAGCCCTTGAATAGCCAATCCTCACCCATCTTTGCTTCTTTCTTACCTTTTCCAGCCACTGATACTGCTGATCCTCAGCAACATAGCAACTGCACTGACAGAGGAAAACCTGGAAAATCATTCCACATTCTGTCAGGTCAAATTTTATACACACTCCAAACTGACACCATATATATATATCAAGTGAAACCTAATATAACCCTTAAGTAACACTTGTTTCCCTGAACTTGCTACTGGCTTATTTTTCTTTAAATTTAAGAATCGAGCCGCTGCTGGCAGTTCCTGTCAGCATAAAGTGCACAATGACAGAGCAAGCATGGGAGCTACCAAATGAGATGCTGGGGACACTACTAGTCAAGATCACCAGCACCATCTGCATAAACCTGCGACAGCACCAGTCCTCCTGCCCTTCGGGCACCACACATTGTGAAGACCAAACTCAATTATGTACTCTGGGAAATGTAAGCATTTACAAACATTTAGGTGCCAACAGAGTAAATGACAGCAGCCTGACAGCATTCTAAAATGGAGCTGATGCCTGTGAAGCTGGAATTATTTTAGAAACCAAGTTCCAGACCACATGCTCCAAGTGAAATAATCTGCAATGCCACAATGCCATAAAAGGATGAGATTCTGGGTTATTAATACTCATGGACTGATACTACCTGTAGAAGTCAACAATGTCTCCTAGTAAAATATTGCCAGATATACTAACACTTAATTACACGAAGAAAGCACAGGAAGGGAAAAATGGGCACGGGGAGAGTGGAGAAGAAAAGGACTGGATGTGTAATTAACTGCACACATGGTTTCTCAATAATCAAGAGATAGCTGACCAATAAACAGTTCAACAAGATGTACTAAAAGAAATTTCTCCTACCTGACCTTCACAATCTAAAGTGAAACCTGTTCACTAAGGATCAAATAAGGAACATGCTTACTTTCCTTATTATTTATTTCCTGTAAGTACTGGTTGTCTATAAAAATCCTTAATAAGCTTAAATAACTTTGGATTACATGTTACAGAAACAAATTTGTAAGTATTACAGAATAAATTTTACAGTTTTCAAGGCTAACATTTGATCCTTACCTTTTGAAATAAGCAACATTATAATATTATGGAATTACTGACTGCTTCCATTGTTTGAACCCCTGCCCCTGGCCTTTGTTCAAGTGCTCAGCAGTTGTGGAATGGTACTCTGTCAGACAAGCAGATGAGGAGACATGTATGTATCACCTCCCAGCCACCTCATCTGCCTGATTTATCTCTCAAATTGCCCACCACACTGCATTAAAAGGACCCAAGATTAGGATTAGGACAAAGTGAAAGCAATGAAATCACTCTGTGTCAACCACAGAATGCCTTTCATCACTTAAAAAAAAACAGAACAAATCAGGTGAGAACGAAAGCTTGATGTCAACAGACTTGTACTTCGAATAAAGTGTTCATGTGCTCAACCAGCGTTAAGTTTCTTACACGTACCAGGCATTGGCTAAAGTGTAGCATCAAAGCAAAACTCCCTGCTTTCAGGGAGTGAACACATTTTTGCATATTTAAGAGTTGCCACATGAAATCTTTTCTGAACAAAGGCAAGGTTTGACTATCTAATGGTTACAATTTGTTTCTAACAAAGTGATTTCAGAACTTCCTAGGAACTTTACCAATACACTGTTTATATCCATGAATATTTATAAAAACAAGAGTGGTTACTACCACTATCTACAGGCACAATTCCTCAGCTCAAAAGCAGACAAAAAGGAACTTGGCATTCACATGAACATTATTACATAAGTGATGCCTAAATAACTCCACCTTAAATATACAAGTACCACATACCAAGGGATTTGATTTCAGATGATAAAACACACAGAAAGCCTCCGTGGGGGACAGATGTACAGTGTCCGTTGTTCTACACCATTCATTCCAGAGTTTAGCACAACCAACTTCTTCCCAGACTCCTGAATTCATAACAAATGATGATAAAAATGCTGTGAAAAACAATGCACATTAAGTCAGTGCTTGGTTCTGCAAGCTGTGTAATAAAAAAAACAGGTCAAGTTACTCTAGAATTTTAGAGCTAAAAGAGTCTCCAAGGCAACTGACCTTACACCACCATTCCACAGACGAGAAAACTGAGGTCTCAGGAAGCTAAAGGCGCACTCTGAGTAGAGAGCCGGGAATTTAGGATGGGTTTGCCAACAAACTTCACCACTCTTACAGAGTAACACGCCTCTGGAAAATTCTAGGCCAAGAGAACTTCATATAAACGAGCCAGTGGTGTTTTACCAAGCACCTACATGTCCTGCCAGCCCTAGGGCTGCCTTACAGAGCAGGGGACCTTAACTGGCACCCTGAATGCTCCTCGGAGCCTGTGAGCTCTAATACTGTATAGGCTTGTGCGCTGGTATGTTCATGCAGTTTTCCCTGAACTCGGTACTGTTCTAACTTTAACCTATCAAATGGATACATACAGGAAGAGACTTTAAAACTTAAGTGCTCAAAAATGTTACCGATTATTATTTTTAGTTTTCCTTATGTTCTCAAAGGAGCCTGTTAATTCAAAAACATTTAAGAACCATAGCCACAAGGGGGCCATGTACACAAGCCATCTTCAAGACCGGCCAAAACAGGCCCAGGAGCTTAAGGAAACCTGGATACCTCAACATGCCAGAACCTTGGGTCTGTAAGTTCCTAAAGCCAAGCACATATCCTTTAAATGTTATTTTTTAAGTTTATTAAAAAGAGATGCCACGTGAGCAGCAAGATTTTATTCATGATACAAAATTACTCTATCACTTCCCTTAAAAAAGCAACAGACATTTGAAATCTTTTATGATGGCAAGAAATAACTTCAGATTTTGTTCTTTCAACAAAATGTCTAGTCTAACTAATGCAAATCTACTTACCTACCGCATTATTTCCTATAGCAATTATAAACTTGGAGCAAGGATATTTTTCTAGCAGAGAAACTTCCAAGAATGTTTTTGTTTGTCTTCGAAGAAGCCGCACCTCCCTAGCACAAGAAAGAAATTAAGTCAACTTAAATAGAGTTAGTACCATATCACCATAAAAAGGATACTATAGGTATGATTTTGTAACAAGTAAAATACGTGCTTAAAAAGAACATATTTTATAATCCAAAGAAAAAAATGGATTCAGGCAATAACTAATAAATAAAACCGTATGATAGAAGTTCATGGAGAACTCTACAACAGAGATCAGGTTGTCAATCAATCTTAACATCCCTATAAGTGGGGCAACAGGGTACAGTGTGCAGTTAAGAGACAGCCAGCACCACCTTTGAAAAAGCATTCTCGCAGCAAAATACTGAACCTGAGTCTGATCAGGCCTGTGGAAGGAACTCCATTTACAGGAAATGCTGGTAATAGACACACGATAAATGACTACAAGAGTAAAAATTATCAGACAAATCTAGAGTATGGGGCACTCTACAGGACAACCAGTCTCAAAGGAGGCTGCGGTAAATGATAGAAGCTGGAAACAGAACATCTAATTGCAAGGCTGGACCCTGTTATGATTCTGGTTTTGGTGTACACAAACACACTGTAAACTGTTATGTTTGAGACAACTGAATAAATTTAATCAAGAACTGGCCATTACATGGTACCAAAAAATGATTAATGTTTTTTGGGGTGATGATAACATATGTAAGAAAATGCCTATACTTTTTGATTTGCATTCTGAGAGACGTAAACGTGGAAGCCATGGAGACTGGGAGTCAGGAATGCCGAAATAAAACACATGTGGCAAAATTTTTCTGATTTTGAATTTACATGACTGGGTGGGGGTTGAAGGGTCATTTCACTATTTTCTCCAATTTTTGTGTTTGGAATTAACACTTGACTTTGAAGAGACCCACTATCCACCTGCTACTGACACTAATGCTAACTGAAATGTGGGGCGGATGACAGATAAGTTTTAGTTGTGTCCACGAACCAAACACACGACAAACGTGGGCCCGATGGCACTGCAGCCCTAGAAAGCGTTCCAGGCCCGCAGGAAACCACCCAATCAACGCTGAAGGAAGCCGGGCAGCGTCTTGAGGAACGAAATGATCCCGAGCACACCGAGCCCGAGCCCACCCCGGCCCTACCGAGACGACGGAGGCGCGCGGAACCCACGCCCAGGCCTTCACCTCTTCCGCGCCAGCTGGCGCCGCACCTCCTGGTCCTCGGGTGTCTCCCTCCGCCCCTCCGCCTCCTCCTCCTCCTCGTCCTCTGTCCCAGCTCGGCAAGGCGCACTCACCACCTCCCCGAAAAACGTGGCCGCCATGCTCTCCCGCAGCCTCTCGGCCTCCCGGAGGGCCGCAGAACAGCACCGCGCTCCGCCCCCGCCGCCACGCCCCCCGCACCGCCTCTGCGCAGGCTCCCGCGGCCCGGGTCGGGCGGTGAGAGCGAAGGCCGGATGACTACGGGCTAGAGAGGCGGGCGGAAGGGCGGGGCCTGGCGGGCCTGCGGAGGACCCGGAAGGGGCTCTCGAGGGGGACCGCCCGTTGCCCGTCTCTCGCTCGTTTCCGCTGCCTTCCGGGTTGGGAGGGCTGGTGAGCTCCGTGCCGCGAGGTGCCACCGCCCAGGTAGGTGCGGCCGGCCCGGACCAGGGCGTGGACGGGCACGAAGGAGTACAGTGCTTCGCAAGCCTGTTAAACGAGCCCTTTACTCTGGCTTAGGAAGTCACACTTCAAAAGCTAATGACTGTGGCGCTCCTCTGAGACATTTTAGGAGAATGCAAAATTAGTTACTTTGTTAAAACTTGGCCATTTCTAATACAAAATTTATTTTTTGCTTTAAATAGCCTCAGTAATAAGCAAAAGTATGTAATCGTTTTTGAACTGGTTCTGTTCTTTAAGATGTGCTGGAAGACAAAATTCACAGAGCACTAGTACAAGCAGGAGAGAAAACAGGACTTTACCACACAGTTTAAATAAAAACGAAAAGATTTAGTGTTGCAATGAAACAATCCATTTCCCTAGATTAAGTTGTATTGGAAGTAGATGGCGCTGCTTACATTTTGGAACCCTCAATAAATTGTCAGTTAAATACTAATTTGGGGTTAGGGGAGCCTCTGGACATAATCAGAAAGTCTCAGAAATTGCTAGAAACATTTTGTTTTAGGATGTGGAGAAACAATGATCAACAAAAGCATTTACATGACATCAGTATGTAGCAACTTTACACACATTACTGTAAAATAAAGGGTTGAGTTTTGAAGCAAAACAGTAAGACCAAACTGCTATCCAGTAAGTGCTTAGGAAACTTCGGGTATAACTGAGCTAGAATATACAAGATTACCAAGGTGATATTTTAAAACTGCATTATATTCCCAGGTTAATTGGTTTTATAGAATTAAAGAATTGCAAAATAAAAGGTTGGATATCACTTTGTCTTAGTCCTTTTGCTAAATGAAACAAGGTGTCATTTTTACCAGTAAGATCCTCAATTTGATTTCACAATTATATTACGAAGAAATCATTTCTAGAAAGCTGATTAAAATGGTAAGTAGGGTAATGATAAAACATTTGGCCATATAAATCCTGCATACATTTCAGAGTTTTACAAGAATGTTAAGTTTTAAATAAATGCTTATTTCATGCAATTACAATAAATTTAGGCCAAGCACTTTTAAAAAGGCAAATATATGTTGAAATTAAATACTAAACCAAGAAAAAGATTCCATTCAGAAAGCTGATGACAATCTAAAATACTGATAGAAATGAACCCCACCACAGTAAATTATGAATTCAAAACTGAAATTTTCATTACACTGAAATTGTCAAAAAAGTTTGCATAAAAGTCTTAACTGAGACTTAAATATTTTCATTTTATGGTATTTGTTGAAGATACAAATCACCAATAAGAAATTTCTATGAAATTAAGTGTAAATATGGGTCTGCAAATAGGTTTAAACATTTCATTCGCGATCAAAACTCAAGCCCCATGCACCTAAAAATATTAGCAGTTTATTAGGAATTTTTCCCTTCCTCACTTGTACTAATAACAGGATACTGGTATCAGTATTTCAGCCTAAAGTTTACTACAAACAGCAAAGAATACAGACTCCATAGGTTAGAAATATTCTGGCTTATGCTAAGAAAATAAAACTTTTTAAGCAGACATGCAATCACAAATTTTGCAAGTAATCTAGACATTGTCCTACCTGTATAACCAAAAAATACATGTTATATTAGTTTTTTAGTGAAAAAGAAACAGAAACCCCTTAGGCTTCTATATTTTACTTTTGCAGATTTATACATGCAAATCATATATTAATAATCACAGATAATTTTTAAATGGAAAAACACCTGCTTCTAACAATTCATTTTTCCAATAGTATGTTGTTAGTACATTAGAAAGATTTGATGGTGCATTCATTTCATCTGGTGATCTTAATTTCAACAAATACATATTAACAATAAATTAAGCCTCATTGAAAAAAATTCTTTATAGTTTCAAGACCAGATTTTCTAATCCTAGTGGGGCCACAAATAGCCCAGATATGCTGCCATTAGAGTTTGTTGCCATGAGACTGTAATAAATTTGCTCAGTGTTCATAAAATTCTAACTTTTAAAGTGCTGTAGAGAAACAAAAGAGGATGTCACTGTGTCTCTAAAAACATGACTATTTTGATGTTAATATCTTTTATTTTCTGAGTTATTAAAACTAAGACCTGCCTCATAATGAGGCACATTTTGGCATCTCAGTAAATGCTGCTACATGAAAGTAAAAATGAGGAACATAAATCGTGATAATCATATTGATCTTTCATAGAAAAGTATATATTCCCTGAATTAGTCATATCAAGGAGTCAGTCACCATTCAGTATGAATTCCAATATTATAAACAAGACACTAATGAATTTTCTCTAATTGTCTATTTCCATCACTGCACTTCAGAACTCAATCAACATCCCCACCTTTGAATCCCTGGGTCTACTAGTTTAAATTGGTTTTGACTTTTGGGGTTGTGAACTATAGAGACTGGATCTTGTTAAAGTACTTGATGCACTCAAACGTCAAATAGGCTCAAAGGCACTTCCCCTTGAAATGTACCTATTTTCCCTCTTCATTCAGCAGTAACACCATAGTGATGGTCTGAATTTCTATACTCTAATACAGAACCCTTAAAAATTAGCATCAGATTGAAATTCTGAAATTTTTTTCAGTCTTTTGAAGTTTCTGCTATGGACCCTGTACACTTCCCATTATTTTCTTTCTCTAAGGAACCAAGGGATTTATTTCTTCAAGGCCCTTCCTTTCTGAAAAGGACTAATCTTATGACAGGCCATTTGTCTTTTCTTCCTGCCTCTCCATCTACAGGCTCCACAGTCTATTCCTCCTCAGAATCCTCTGTAGTGTGTGTCTGTACAAGAGCTGACTGGGAGGCAGCCTTCGTCCCACTTTGACCCACTGGATTATGGTTTTTAGGAAATTCCTCCGAAGGTGCCAACAAGGGGTTAACAGTACAGCTAGGAGCAGGAGGCAACTGCCAGTTTACTTGTGGCCCCTGATTTTCAATTCCACTTCTACATTTTCATAGTTACTATTGGGCTTTTTCTTTCCAGGATCTGAACCACCTAAACATTTTTTTTTTTTTGCTTTTATCTTCTAGCTCTTTCTCACTTTCAGAATTTATGGTTGTATCATCCTCTTTATAAGCATTCAGTAATTTTTTCTTAGCCGCAGCAGAAGCATTTCGATGGGGCAGTTTTCTGCTGCTCTTTCTAATCCAGACATTTTCTGGTTCTGAAATTGTTTCCTTTAGATTACTCATTATCTTTATTTTATTTGCAGCCACAGTAGCACAACTGCGGGGGACCTTCTCAGGTACCATTTTTGCTCTCAGAGTTTCACTAGGCATTTGCACTGTGTCCTTCAGATTATGCATACATGTTCTCATTTTTGTATTGGGTTCTCTGTCTCTAGGAACAGATTCTGAAAAATGAAAGTTCATGTAAATGCAAAAAATCTTGTAACGCAAGATTTTACTATTACATTCCTGAACAATATTCCTAAACAGTAAATTTTAGTACTCACATTACTAAGTAAAAATGATCATCAGTACTACGTTTTTGACATTGATATAACTTTCCATTTCCTAATCTACAAAAGGAAGTCTTGGAGGCTAAGTTCGCTCTCACCTGGCATATGTCAGTAGCAGACTTCAAGAATGGGTTTACATACTTACAGCTAATCTGAAAGCACTTTTAAAACCCTGAATTTTAAAAATAGAACCATACATAGCTTTCAAATTTTATTTCTAATACTCTATGTTGAACTACTTTAAAATAGCCGATAGGAGCTCTGAAATAATTTTTCAAGACCCTGAAGGAAAGGCCCTAATGACTAAGACAGAGCCTCAGCATTGATCTCAAGGTCTTTGTGAAGATTTAATTAACACCAGTATTTCCTGTAATCAAAAACACATCGGATTGGTAACTAGTAGAAACAGATTGTGTACTTTATGCAACTGAATGTTTTAATCCTTAGTTCATTTTTCTTCAAATTCTTGAGCATTTTATGTAACTGGATTTATTAAATCAGTTTCATCATTCAGGTATTTTCTGTGCCAGTTACGTGCTGGGCACACTAGAGAATCAGGATAGATTCTGAAGGTAATTTTACACATAGGAGTATAGTTGCTGCAAGGAACTACGTGCAGTGTGCCTGTGAGAACATATTCTAGAAACCAAACTTAGTCTAAGAGGCAAGGGAAGCTTCCTGTGAGGATCTGAGAGCTGGAGACTAAAGGGACACACACACAAAAGACAGCACGGAAGTGCTCTGGAGAGGGAGATCCTGTTCCAAACAGAGAGAATTTTCTGAGGGTGGCTTGAGGTCCACCCTGCTGAGCCGTGCTGAGCCACAGGTTGGGCCAGCTCCGCCTTTACCAAGGTAAGTGTCTCAAATCATTCTTACTTTTGCCAGCGTCCCAAAGCCAGATTTTCAAATTTCAAATAAAAGATTAAATAATACTCTTCTAGGGCAGAAGTACAGGATCCCCTGCTTTTTTGAAAGTTCACATTCCCTCATTTCACCTACATAAGTGTTTTTGCTAAGAAATCCAGAGAGGATTTTTGTTTTTACCACAAAAGGAAAGTGTGCAGAGTATCAGCATGGGTTTTGCAGTGAGCTTGCTGTAGAGGCAGCACATGCTGCCTGCAAAGCCATGAGCTGCTTTGTGGGTGATCATCTGGGCATGTGTCTCAGTTGATACAGTGCATTCATTAGCAAGTGTCCTAAAATATCAGAAAAGCCTAAGAGGTGATTTTTTGGGTCTGTGAATACAAAATAAATTTTCCATATAATTTAATGGTAGTTGCTTCACTCTGTACCATTTCAGCTTATTAAATGTTTCTTAGGAGTGCTCTTTTAGTGAGAGAAAGCTGCCATTTCTTGATGAATACATCTTAAGTTAATCAGCCTCTGAATGTTAGGATTTTATGTTTGCCATCATTGAGTCATACTGCCTAAAACTGTCTTAAAGGTACTCAAATCTTGCTGAGGAGTGTGGAGGACTCACCCCATTATATCATTTTTCACTACTAAGGACCAGAAAGTAACACTTGTCAGCTATGGTAACGGTATCTTCTGAAGCAGTAAAACTAACAACTATTTTCTTAGTTTTATGAACAGAGATATTTGCCATTCTGTCATCAAGGGCAGATAAGTACAGGTGAAAATGGCTGTTGATTGACATGTTCATTAACAACAGGGCAAGAATTTTGAGGAAAGTTGTCTCCCCTCTAAATGAATGCCCTTCATATTTTACCTTAAGTCTATGAAACTCGTTTCAAAGCCATGCTAGTGCTTTCTTCAAGACCCTATGAGTTCAAGGGTCTAGGAACTGCTTTACAAAAAGCAACCCTCCAGAAATGCATGTCCTTTTTGCCAATTGCATGATTCACATACTTTTCCACTGAAATCCTATTGCTAAATATATGGCTTGTTCAATAATTTGAGTCATCAGGCACTGCAAAAATGGCATTTCAGCAGGCAAAGCTGCTGCTGCAGCATACCTGGCCTGCCTGTAGTTGAGCTCTGTGGAGTCACACGCACATCAAGTCAGGGTAGTGAAAAGCCAGCCAAGTGGCTTCCAGTGCAATGTTTTGCCACTTAAAGAATTTTTTCCTAGGAACTTTCAAATTATGTACTAATGTCTCTGCAAACCAACCCTAGATCCAAAGTCATTCTTTAGCACATAAAGCAGTTAGGCAAATGCTATAATATAAATGTAAATGCTTAAACACATAAATGAAAAAGTAACTTTAAAAATAATTAGAAAAATTGAGGTGATGTTTTCACTTATGGTAAGATGAGTATATACTAGTTCACTCAACTGCATCCATCTGCATGTTGAAATTAAAAATAGACAACTTGTTCATTCCCTACATCAAGCTGAATAGTATAAAATCCTATCACAACTTAAATTTTCTGTGGGACAAAAGGATTTAAGTTGCAGCACTTACTTTTTGATATAGTGATCAAGTAACCTGTATTGACAATTTAGGAACCCAGTAAATACTAAGATATTATTAACAAATGCTTACTTGCCATCTAGAGAGAGAACAGTTAGGATTCTCCAGAACAAACTGTGATCTGGCTTTTAAAAATACTTTAAGAAAAACTGAACTGAGCTCTAACTTATGTCCATAGAGTATGGAAATAAGACTATTGTATACACCAACTCCAACTTGAAGCTGTATCTTTAAAGTCTTAGACCATAAAATGGGAATTTCATAAAATAAAAGCAGAATCTGAGGAAGACAGAAGAGTGATAGTGTTGGGAATTAAAAAAATAATACATACATGTAAGTCAGTGTTCATTTTATTACTGAGAACTTGGTAAATTTTCAAGTGCTTTATTCTTGAAAAAGCTAAACAGTTTTTAGAAGTATATACAGGATAATTTGGGGTTAGAGAGAAATCCAATTTGCATGTTAGGGTACACTTTTAAAACTTGGGAGGCTACTGCCCTAACAGTACATCTGTGATGACACCACTCACTACTACTGAGTCAGCGCACTGCCGCTCAAGTCCTACTGTCCCAGACGTTCTCCAACGGTCACGGCGCTGGAACAGTCCCTGAGTGCCTGAGGCACTGCTGCTCTCCAGTGTCATCAGTACAGTGCACACTTCATCGGTAGCAGTACTTCAGCACAGTGTACCTACATGACCGCCTCAAATTCTAACTCATGGATCACTACATATTCTATGATGGTCTGTGGTGAACAGAAACTTGAATGGAAGTTACAGTCTTGATTCAAAGCAATAATCTTTAGCTTCTGTATTTTAAGGATTATTCATATCATTATGATACTTCATGATCCAGTATATTTTCCTAAATCCAAAATAAACTTTACATCATTGCCATAGAAGCATTAAAAATTTTTAATCTGATCAGCATGTTAATGGAGTATTAAAAACAAATTTGAGAATGGGAAAAAAAATGTCTGAATCAAAATAATACCAATATACTAGCCTATTTCACATACTTTTTAAGTACTGATATTGGTCGCTGGGGCTGGTGGATACATCAAATCCACAGAGGGGAAACCATTTATTTCAAATCATTAGCTCTCTCACATCAGCCTTTTATTAGAGTTGGTTTCAGATGTCCTTTGTGCCTGCCTTTGACTAGAAGCAGTGAAGTAACCAAAACTCAGAAGCAAATAGCACTTATCACTGATACTCATCCCTCTTAAAAAGAATGACTTGTATAATCAAGTGTTTTCTGTAACTCACTGGGCTGAACACTTTTTATTCTTTTCTAAGGGTAGTTGGTTAACACTGAGAAGTCAACTTCCACAGTATGGCAACATCAGGTCAAGAGATTGTCAGAAATAATTCCATAACCTAGTTGTTCACTAGTTGGTCACTTTTATGGTGATGAACTTCAGTTCATCAGTTAAGCCCTCACTCAGTACATTCAATGGTGAGCACCACAGAACTCTGAACTGTTTTTGTTTTGCATCTACAGCTAATCTCACCATCATTAGGGTTTTCTCTCATCCCCAGAAAAGCTCATTGGTAAGTCACTCTTAGGATTCTAACAACATTTTGAGATGTGTATTGCCATTTTTTCCCTAACAATTCTGATAAAACCTCTATGAATTATGAATCCAAGGATCTTAGACTTAAGATGCCTAATGAACTTAAAAGATTTGTCAGAGCACTTCAAACTAACATTGGCAGGATAAAGTATCAGAATACTAGGTTTTCAATCAACTTTATTACTTTGCTAATGAAAAGCAGCAGCACCACAGACAATCCAATGACAAGCCCTTTGCAGCCTATCTCCTGACTCCCTTCAGTGCCTCCTGGCTCAGACAACTTGTAGACCTGTATTCCGCCTGCATGTGAATGTACCACAAATGGACAGAGCTTAGGGAGCTGCTTAAGACAAGAGGCTGAGTTGCAAGGGCAAGTGGCTGCCCACAGACCTTACAGATTAACTAGCTAGCAGACTTGTAGTTTAAAAACAAAACGAACCCAAAAACATCCCACAAGCTTTTTTGTTTGTCATTAAGGAAACAAAATAAAATGTATTATACTCTACTAGTTAGTAATTGACCGAAAAACTGGTTCCTAAGTGCTAAGGTGCTAAGACTCACATGTAGTAATGAGTTAATTTAGACAGTTAAAGATTTTGTGTGGGAATGGGAGATTAAAGATGAGCCTTTTTGGCAAGTGCCAATAAAATGCTTCAGTTCACAGGTGCCCAAGGACTAAATATGGATCAACACTTAGAAAAGTAACTTCAACATATTAAAAATTAAAGGTTCCTTTAACATATTTAACCACTGACCAACAAAGGGAAAGCTAAGTAATGGTCCTTATGGAACCAATGGTAGGATGCTGCTGTCAATAGCCTGTAACTGGTTATCTCATTTCAGTTACATCACTTAAAAGCCTCTTCCTCTTTAGCAGTCCAAGCTCCCATTAAAGATTTTAATAAAGAATAAAACTTACCTTAAAGTATGTTTGTAAGCACTGGTAATTAAATTCAGTGAAACTATAAGTCTTGACAAGTGTCATCTATACTTACTTACATACTGCCAAAGAGAGAGCCTGCAGACCTGTAGGACCCAAATGTCACTGCCCCTACCAACATACCTCCATCAAATCCATAAACAATCCTTGAAAAGAGACATTTCAATTAAGAGTCTTGGTATTTTTCTACCAAATTAACATTAGGAACCATCTTGGCAGATTATGAGTGACTGGTAAAAACTTCTCTTAACTTTAAGAGTTCCCATGTATCCTTAGGCAACATCTGTAATTTCAGAAAATAGCTATAAATGTTTTTTATAAATTGTGGGAAAAGACAACACAGCCCCTCACCATTGTACATGAAATACTTCAGTCGTTTCCATTAATTCACAACGCTCCATTTTCTCCCCTGCTTTGACAAACTTTATTTGGTTTGGCCTTTATATAAGTTCCCAGATACTTCGAGTAAGAGACCATATTTAAACTGCCCAATTGCAAATTTCTTAGGGTTTCTGCTTTATTATTCCCTGATACCAACAGCAGAAGTTGAGAGGTATAATGAAAATGAAAAGATGTAAAGTTCTATAGCAAAGGTGCTCTGTTGCACTCCATTATACTAGAATAACTGAACTATAATTTCTATAAAACAAAACCTGAAATATTTGGTCACAACTACTACATAGCTGATAAATATACTGACTTGGTATTAATGAAAACAATGAAACTGGCATTCCAGCTATAAAAGGACAAGGCAAAAAGACCTTCTCTATCCATTTAAGTTACTTGAAAAATCAGTAAAATTGAGTAAAAGGGAAAACCAAAAATACTGTATGTACCTTTAACAATGTCCTGTATTCTCTCATTTTTTCTAGGTGGCAATATCAAATTCAATTTGTAATGATAGAACATTACATTGTAATTAGAATTCTTTAGTTTTTAATACCCATGAAGTTAAATAAACTATGTTCTGATTATCATAAAGAAAAAAAGGCTAGAATGCGAACAGGGAATGTAGTATGGACCCAACATTGTTCTAAATAAGAATTTTTAGTTAAGATGTCATCAACCAATGGAGTGTGAAGGATTAACAACGTCCTACTCTTAACTTCTGGACAGCATTATTACCTTCCAATGGTGCTCTTATTGGTTTGGTTCCTTTATCCATTTGCCCTTCTAGGTTCTTAAGTTCCTTTTCCCAAAACTAAGTTATTTTCCCTTGTTTTCTCATTAGAAAATTAATTTCCTATTTAGGTAAACTCTTTACTAATTAAACTTGTGTTTCTGTAACTTAGTAACTGAAGTTGTTTAACATTCTTTCCAAGGATTATTAAACTAAGAAATACTTTAATCAGATATTTTTCCCTAAAATAAAAAAAGGGAGAAAGACCACCCTAGGAATTATCTGGAAATAGGGTAAACTCTTCCTTTTATTCAGAAGTTACTACACGCTGTCAGTATACCCTTTTCTGTTAAAGTAGGATATGGGGGAAAGTGATTTTTAAACCTCACCTGTTTTTTAAATGTTCGAAGACTTTTTTTTCTTAATATGCTTGCTAAAATTAGTCTTTCAAAGAATAAAAAATAAGATCTAAATGTCTCAATCCTTTTTTTTAAAACCGCAAGTGAGTATCATAGGACTTTGGACATACACACCACAGTAGTTGTCATCTTTCACATAACACCATTAAGCTACTTCAAGTGCAATGGAAGGCTGTAGCACTTACTTCTGGGTCAGTTCACATTCAATCTGTAACCTTTTGTTTTTTTCTTCCACAAGAAAAATAAAAACTGATCCCAAACATAATAAAGTACATCTGTGCATTAAATATCCCTGCGCATTTCGCATAAACAGAGTAGGAAAAAAGTCAAACATGTTCTAGTGCTCAATGTAAACATTCTGAACTAATTACTAGTTTTCCTCAAAGGTACTTAGGAGTGTGTGTCACATATTCAAAGGTAACCTTAGGAATAGCACCATGACCAAAAAAACCCCATAAAAATGATGCTTATTAAAATCCCTTAGTTTTACATCAGAATGTGAAAAGCTACCATTGTCACAACCATGTTTTCAAAGTCATCAGGCCAATTCTTATTTTTTTCAGAAACCAAAATACTGCTTCTGCACAAGAGTCTAACCATCTTAGACAAAATGAAAAATTAGTAATTGGTTGACCCACCAATCAATGACCCATTCAGTCCAAAAGATGGAATGGTTCTACTGATGAAGCCTAGAAAGCCAAAGCATCACTTTGCCAAAAGAATTTATGCATGAATCAATGTATTCTGTATTTATTTATGGATTTTTTTGGTACCTTTTTGCAGATGATGGTAAACACGGAGTTATAACCCTGAGAAAAGATATAAAACAGAGAAACTTAGGAAGAGTTTAAATAAATCAATGGATACGACATCTATCACCACTTCTTTAAATTAGGGAAGTAAAAAGCATGCGTTAATTTTTTCAGGTCAATAAACAGTTATCCTGAATCAAAACACAAGCTCTGAGAAGAAAAGCATCATAGTTCTGAAGTGGTAATAGCTCTCTAAACAACCAAAGGAGGGGTAGGTATCCCACCTATCTCAGGTGGTCATGTCCAAAAACATCCTTCCCTTGTATCAGAGTAGAAAGAGAAAGTACCTTCTACCATGTCAAATGAACAGATAACTAAAAAGTAACCACACTTAAGAACATCCTCTAACACTGATACCAGTCTGATGCTTTTTCCTATCTGCCACCTTAAGGATACACAGGAGAAAGGGGTTAATTTTGTCTGAAACCAAACACAATTAGGGCCAATAAATAACCAAGGTGGGAGTACTGTAACATATCCCTTAGTTACAAAATATGTAAACCATTTGAATCAAGTCCATCTTCAGGCACAAACAAGTTAGGAATGGCCACCTACACTGTTTAGAGCAGCACAACCTATCAAGCAAAAATATTTGGCTCAAAAATGAGTGTACTGTGGTATTTGATTATGTAATGAAAATTTCACTTTAAGTGGACTCCAAAATTATTTTCCCACAACATATTAGTTTCTAGACGTCACTAACATATACTCAGTTGCCCCAGCAAATGATGCTTGGGATTACACATGGTGGCAGTAAGCTAAAATAGAGCTGGAGAATGACATTTAACTGTTCCTATATAGATGAGATTTGTGATTGCACTCTTAAGTAAAACTCAACTCTACAATCTCAGTACAAATGGGGGAACTATACAGAATTTAAATACTCTTTTAGCCCTGTACACTCTATTAAAGAACACACTTTTCCTATATCTAAGGCACACAAACTCCTCTATTTCACAGAGTAAGACTATGGAAGACCATGATTTTGGTTAAATCCCTTACACAGAAACCAGGAGATGTTGGAAATACAAATTATATAGCATTTTGTTAGTGCACAATTTAAAAGAAAATGCTAGGACTACAGTCTGGCCTTAGAATTTTAAAATATACAATCAAAACATTAAAAAAAATAATTTACCAGCACTTTATAAATTCAAGTTTACAAAAGTAAAAGTGATATTTTCCTTAAAAATAAAATTTAAAAAAAAAAAAAAAAAAAAAGAAAAGACCCAACAGCATTTGGAAAGAAAACTGGAAACCATTTCAATGAAAATGACCAAATCTGGTATAATGCATTCTACTCAAGTAGTCAGGGAAAGAAAAAAAGTGGTAGGTACCTTGCCTACTAATCATGGTCACACCTCCCATGACTGTAATGTCAGTATGCACATAATATTTATGAAGAATCTGTAAACACAGGTCATATGAAATTGTTATACTACAACAGGACTGGGGTTAGAATCCACCACCTCTTGACAAACTCAAAAAATAACTGCCTGACACTTGCTACCATGAAAGTAATGCTCACCGGTTTTGATAACCAGGATGTCTAGTGTTTTAACTATTTCAAACTCTTGCTATATGTAGATAAATACTGTCAAAGTAGATCTGCCCCCAAAACGAAGCATATTTTGGCACCTGTGCTGATGCTGCTACAAAGGCAAGCAAGTGCAAATAAAAATAACAGTCATGATTTAGTCACATTCATAACTTCTCATAGAAAAATATAAATATATTCCCTGAATTGTAGGACAAAAAATAATTTCAATAGCCAGCTTTCACTATAAATTCCAGTCCACTTCCTCTTTAAATGAACTGGTTTTCCCTCAAGGTCATAAGGTGCAACCATCAAATTCTAACACATTTTCTAAGCTTCTATCATCATCCCCATCATGGTATCTCACGGTCCTTCTACCCTGATTTCTCGTTTTTATTTTTGAACGTCGAAGAACTCTTCTACATTTTGCATAGTCCAAATCCTCCCAGTCATTGTCATCCACATTTAACCTAGGGCGCTTGCTCTGTCTTTGCCGCCTCACAGTTTTAGATACGTTAGCTGTAAAAGCTTTACCTTTTCTAACTACTTTTGCTTTTCCTCTCGTTTTCCTCTTTTTGGTTTTTGTATCACCAGTACAGTCCACATCTGATTCACTTACAGATCCCAACTCTGAATCAGACTTGGGACTAGCATCAGGTCCACACTTTGAACTCCCTGTGGTTTCAGAGATTTTCACATTTTCCGACTCAGGATGCAGTCTCCTCCTTTTTACTTCCGTCTCAGTTGCTTCCTGTGACTCATGAATCACTTTTGTCTTACTGAAAGGAGCCTTCCCATAGGTCCTAAGTCTTCTGCCATTCCACCTGCGCAGCCCATAGTTCAGTTCCTCTTCAAAGTTATTCTCCACTGTAGCTTTTTGCACCAAAGTTGACTCAGAAGATTTTCTACCAACCTCAACCCCGGGAATATGGCTTTTTGAATCTCCCTCTGAAGACCCAGTTGAGGGGTTCTTTGTCTCAGAAGGTGGAACGCCTGCTTCACGGCTGTCGGTGTGCCTCTTCTTGCACTCTGAGGGCAAAGTACCTTCTGAGTCGGAGTCTCTGTTTAAAGACGGGTTAACACTTTTTGTGCCACCTTCTGAGTCGACTTCAGGCAGCTTCCCTTCACAGACACGCTGCTCACTCGGCACGCCCCAGTTTCCATCTCCCTCAGAATCACTCGCTACTTTCTTAGCTGTGGTACAAGGAAAACGGAGGGGCTTCTTTCTTCTGCTTTTGCTTCGAGTGCGCACACACTCTAAACTGACATCTTCCACGTCATTCAGGAGGTTAATCCTATTGGCAGCAGTGGCTGCACATCTTCGAGGAATCCTGAGACCTGTTTTGGCTTTTGAGGATTTCGTAACCACTTTTGAATTGCTGTCTGAGTCACTGGAACAGACCCTTTTCTTGGCAACTTTTCTGCTTTGTCCATGGTCTTGTGATGTAGAATCTAAAAATTAAGAGAATTCTTTAATCTTTAGAAGAGTGAGTCTGAAGAAACTAAATGTTGAACATTGGAAACAACTGACATCTAATAGAATTCTTATTAACCTGGAAGGAGGGGTGGCAGTATGTGGGCTGGGCTCTTGCTACTTCAGAGCAGTGACGTTTCCAGCCTCAGCGCCACTCAGAAGTGTAACATGCCATCAGTAACATCCCAGGCCTTTCTATCTAGACACAACACTTGACTCTAAAATGTTGCATTTACATAACTACAGACTAAACTCTCTTTACCACCTCATTAAGGTATGCAAACTAATCACTTACTCTCATCCTTCCTCCCTGAAACTTTTCTTAACTTGACAAGTTCCAATCACACCAACTACCTTCGATCTTCACTTTGGCTGCCTCCTGCTCTTTAGTATTTCTCATCAATCCCTATTTACCAGAAGTCTAATCTTAATTGAAGTTATTTCACCTCCCTATGCTCCAGATATTACCAGTAAAAAAGGACAACAGTAATAATAGTGCCCATCTCATACAAGATATGAAGACTAAACTGTTTAACAAACAACGCATTTAGAAAACCTTTCTGACACAAAGTAACAGCTTGATAATTGTTCTGTTAGCTGCTATTACAATTACCACATCCTACCCTTTTTCTTCTTCACAAACTGTTAACATCACAACTTACAAATCTGCTTGTCTGGACTTTTTCTTAAACCCACACCCAAAACAACATCCTCACCACCAATACAAATAAAATCTGTAACAATAATAGTTAAAGGCCAAGATCGCCTGTTACGTGAATAAAACTAAATGTACTCGACAAACAGTTATGCACGCACACAGAAAATAAAGATGTATGTAAAAGACCAAAGGAGAAATCATGGAGTGGAAAGAAAACAGGAAAAAAACTGTCTGCTATAAGGAAAGGGTGTGCCAAGGTTAAATGTTTTGAATTACCTTTCATACAACTGTTTGATTTTTCTTTTGTTTTGTCATCATGTGACTCCAAATCAGATCCCTGGTCTGAAAACCACAGGGACCCAGCAACAGGTTCACACTTCAAATTCCCTGAAATCAGGTTCATTTCCCTTTTGTGACATCCATCATCTTCTCTATTTTGTTCTTCAGATTCAGAGTCCTCTGAATCACTGACGACTTTCGCTTTTTTAAGGAAAGTAGCATTCTTGCACCTGGTGCTGCTCCTACCAGCATGCTTTCTTGGTTCAGAATCTGTTTCTTCCTCTTCCTCCGAGATGTCTTTCGCCTTAAGTTTCTGCCCAGGTGTTGATGGGCCAGCAGTTCTGTTACAGCCATGATCTGAATCATGACTTTTAGAGTCGTCCTCAGAAGACTCTATTTTAAGAAATTTTGTCTTAGAAATCGCTGGAGTATGGGATTTGTAACCATTAGCATGCCAATTTTTCCGTGCTACCCGCAAATCACTTTCTGACTCTGAATCTCCATTTTCAGATTCATTGACAGTACTCTGGGCAGCATGAGAATTGGACAGTGGGGATGGCTGATTTTGATCTTTGAGCTCCTCTTCTTCAATTTCTGACTTTAAGCTCTGGTCATCTTCAGAATTATGTAATAACTTTTTTCTAGCTACAGCAGAAGCATTGCGGTGGGGCAGCTTGCGGCCAGAACAGACACTCTGAGAGCTAGAATTCTCCTCCGCATCACTCATCAGCTTTATCTTACTCGCAGCTGCAGCGGCGCACTTTCGTAGCACTTTCCGGTTGTTTCCAGCTCTGGCTTTTAGACTCTCACCAGTCTCCAGTGAATTATTATCAGAGTCATTTAAATAAACTCTCTTTCGAGTGGCTTTTCTGCCACATCCGTTTTCCAAAGAAACTGAACCTAGAAATAAAATAACATAAGATTAAGATGGTCTTATTTCAACATTTTTAATGACTTTATTCTTTTAGTATTGATGTTCCTTATTTATTAATGCCTAAACAGAATTCCTTTCTACATCTAAAAGATCAAAAGGCTAAGTATGGAACAGATAGAAAGCCCAGAAATAAACCCACACATAGTCAATTAATTTACCAAAGAAGGGGGAAGAATAGACAATGGGGAAAGGACAGTCTCTTCAATAAATGGTGGACAGCCACATGCAAAAGAATCAAACTAGACAGCTATCTCACCCCCCATACACAAAAACTATCTCAAACTGGATTAAAGACTTGAATGCAAAACCTGAAACCATAAAACTGGTAGAAAAATATATAGGTGGCTAAGTTCTTTGGCATCTGCCTTGGAGATGATTTTTTTGGTGACTCCAAAAGCAAAAATAAACCAGTGGGATGCCACATCAAACTAGAAAGGTTTTGCATAGCAGAAGAAATAATCAACAAAATGAAGAGGCAACCTACTGACTGGGGGAAACAAGTATTTGCAAATCATGTATGTCTTAAGAGGTTAATATTCAAAATACATAAAGAACTCAAACATCTCAACAGCAAAAATACTTAACAATATCATTAAAAAATGGAGGATCTCAACATTTTTCCAAAGATGACACACAGATGGGCCAATGGGCACATGAAATGGTGCTGAACATCACTTATCAGGGAAATGAAAATCAAAACCACAATGATCTATCACCTCACACCTGATAGAATGGCTATTATCAAAAAGTGGGAGAACAAATTTTGGCAAGGATATAGAGAAAAGGGAAACCTTGGGCACTATTTGGTGGGAATGTAAAACTGGTGCAACCTCTGGAAAACAGGAGGGAGGTTTCTCAAAAAATTAGAACTACCATATAAATGATCCAGTAATTCCACTTCTGGGTATTTATCCAAAGAAAGCAAAAACACTAACTCAAAAAAGATAAATGCCACCCCTATGTTCATTATAATATTATTTACAAAAGTCTAGATATGGAAATAACCTAAATGTCCACTGATGGAAGAATGGGTAGAGAAGATGTGGTTTATCTATACAATGGAATATATTCAACCATAAAAGAATGGAACCTTGCCATTTGTGACAACATGGATGGCCCTCACAATAAAGACAAACCACATGATCTCACTTGTATGTGGAATCTAAAAAAACGAACCAACCAACACTAACAACAACAAAAACAAGCCCAAAGATACAGAGAAGAGACTGGTAGGTGCCAGAGAGAGAGAGCAGGGTTGGTGGTAGTGTTAGGCAGGAAAATAGGTATGAGCGGGGTGTGGAAAAAGATAAAGTCCAGGTAAGTCCACTAAAAAGACCCAGAGTTAATCAATTAAAGATCAAAAAGCCAGGAGCAACTTGGCCTGGAATGTTTTAAATATTCCCCAGATAAAGGAGGGTACCTCAGCCTAGCCTATGTCTTTACTGTGTTAATCATGCAGGCCCAGCTTATTTTTTAACTTTACCTATATGCTGTTTTTTCCTCCTTTCGCCCTAATCAAGTATTTTGCAACCGAGGCAATTCAGCATGCAGGCCCAGCCGTGAACAACATAGTAAAAGGCAGGAACGATTCCATCTTAGGACTGCATTTTAATACCCAGGAAGCTGAGAAGTAAGATTCTTAACTTACTCTTTAGCAAACAAACAAAAACTCAGCCCACCTTGGGGGCTGGGCAGGCAGTCTTATTTGATCTGCTCCCAGACCAAGACACAGGTATCCCAGGGAGAAATCAGAGCAGGAAGCTCCCTGTGTTAATTCTAAATATACAGGAACCACTTAACCAGCCTGCACCTCTCGCCCTTTGTTACATTCCTGACAAATCCTTAAAAGGGGGAACCCTCAACCTTTTCAGCGCGCTCCTCTTTCTGAGGTCACCCGCCCTTTCTGAATGCGGAACTTTTAACTTTTCCCAACCTTTCTGGGATCTCCTTTCTCTGAGGTCGCCCACACTTTCTAAGTATGTAACCTTTTAATATTAAAACTTTCTCTCTCCAACTTTTCAGGGCATCTCTCCCTTGCTGAGGTGGCCGGTACTTTTCTCTCTTTAAGTAATTATAATAAAGCTTTTACGCTGCTTCACTACTGTGTCTCTGCCCTTCAGTTCTTTGTTGCAGCAGGGAGAAGGACCGAGGAAAATACACAACGTTCCCCCAACAGTAGGTGAAAGAAGGGGTCAAAAGGTACAAATTTTCAATCATAAAATATTAAACAAGCTGTGGAGATATAATATGCAGCACGGTGGCCACATTTAATACTGTATTGCATATTTGAAAGTTGCTGAGAGAATACATCTTAAAAAGTCCTCATCACAAGACAAAAAAATAAAACTTTTTAAAGGGGCATTATGATTAGCCCACATAATGTAGCGGGGGGGTGGGGGGCAGACATGGGAAAGGCAGTATATACAGAAAGACAAGTAATGATTCTATAGCATCTTACTACACTGATGGACAGTGACTGTAATGGGGTATGTGGGGGGGGAGACTTGATAATAGGCGGAGTCTAGTAACCATAATGTTGTTCAAGTAATTACACATTAACGATATCAAAATTAAAAAAAAAACCTTTTTGGAACTATATATGGTAACAGATGGTAACTAGATCTACTGTGATGATCATTTTGCAGTGCACACAAAATACCAAATATACAAATAGCAATTAAAGGAAATCTAATTATATGTAGTTGCATTACATGAATACACCATTTAATGTTTGGCTTTTGGATTCTCTTGAGATACATTCCTCCAAAGTACAGCCGAGTCTCTTACCAGTTTTTCTTTGAGCAGCCCTGGTTCTGGTCACCCTGGGATTTCTGCTCCTGGCCAGCCCACTGCGTAAGGAGGACTCACAAGCTCTTGAACTCTCCCTGCTCTCCTCTGAACTATTGAAAGCTGAAGACGACGACAAGGTACCCAAGGAATCTTCCATTTCACTTTCTAAGGAAAATAAAACACATCAACAGCTTATTCCATATTTTCTCTTCTGTACACACACACTTAGTTTACAACAATAGACTAAAGGATTCTTAAAATACCTAGAAGACTAAGTATATTTTTTAAAGTTGTTTCAAAGAACAGCTGGTAACATTTTGGTATTAAAAAGGTAATCAGCACTTCAAATCAAGCTTGTTCTCTTTTTCCTCAAGTAACATATTAATCCAGATTTGGATTTAGAAAATACAGTTTGTATGTTTTATAAACATATTTTCACTTAAAAATTACATTAGCCCCATTATCTAACAGCTCCAATATCTACACTATCAGTATTTACTTCCTTCTATTATATGAGACAGAAATTTCCCAATAGAAAAGATCTGCCATAACTTCAGCAAAGACCTGCCATAAGTCCAGCATTTCAACAGAAACAACTTCTAAAACTCTGGCCAAGTCACCCCTTCCTAACAACACAATGGTACCATACATTCAGCTCAAGAAAGGTCATTTCTGCATGCTCCACAAAAAATTTCCAAAAAAAAGAAAGTGAGATAAGTAATGTAATATACAAGTCATTTTCCCCCACTATTCTCCACTTAATGAGTGCTGCCTCTGTGTGGACACGAGACAGGACCAAATTTCCTGTTCCTTCATCCAGACTCAGTTCTCACATACCTATCACAGAATAAAGACCTCACCAAGATAAATGGGAACACGTTAAAAGATAAAATTTTGCTCTATAACACAACCTAACTCTATCAGAGAAGAAAGAGACTGTGTTAGAAGGATATAAACCACCAAGCTGTGTTTCTTATTTGAAACTGCTCTCTCGTGTGTGGGCTTTGATTGCTCCTACGCTACTCCACTACCCAGTACATCTGACTTGTTTCCAGGTTCTTCCCCTTCTACACGTATATGTTAAACTGATAATCTTCCTGAAATGGAGCTCATAATGTGATTCCCTTACTTCACTAGGGACCCAATTATGTAATCCAACCTTTCTGCAAGTCTTGCCAATCTCTAAAATGTGTCTGCATTCTACTTGTTTGATCCTATTATTTTAAATTACAATAGTAATTTACATACTATCTTGACAAATCACCAAAATCACTCAGAGCAACACACAGAGTATGCAAACCCACTTCAGTCTCATTCAAACAATGCTAACAGAGGATTAGCATCAGCTGTAGTTATACTAAAAATGGCAATAATATGAACAGTTTAGAATTTACTAGGTCATCAGCTTTAAACTTACATGATTACCATGTCTTTTTTTTTAACCTAAAGAAAAACAAAACTGTCAGATTTTGCAACATTAAGTATGATATTTTTATTGCATTACTTAAAATTTGGGGAGGAGTCAAATTTGCCTGAACTGTGGCTGCACCATTTGAGAAAAACAATACTTATTAAATATGTTGTCATTGCTCCTTATTTGTTCCTTTGGTCCCCCCTCTGCTAGACCACACGGCCACATCTTATTCCTTCGTCCAAACCCGTAACAACCAGCAGTGTTACACACTTATGTTCAACAGCTGAGTAAGGTTCCACTTCTCACCAGATAGTACAGAACCGTTTTTCAAAGTGACAGGTCTATTTCTTCTCGTTCTTTCTGCAGATCCTGCTGAATCTGAAGAGTCACCAGAACTAACACCTGAAGAGATGTTGGTGCTTGTCCTCTGACGGGCAGAATAAGCCGCCCTACTGGTGGCAGACTGGGTAGGAGAACCTACCAACTCAGGAATTACTTTTGTCTGAAACTTCAACCGCTTCTGCTTGATATTTCTGGTCAAATATATGGACAAAAGAAATAACAGTTAATAAAAAAAATGCCTAAACAAAACTGTATTATTAATCTGAGAACAGCTTTACAAGCAAGACATTAAAACATTCTTAACATGTTATTTGTCATGAATTACTACTAATTAATCCTCTTACTCCAAATCTGACATCCTTTTATTTCAAACTGGAGTAATGAACAAATGACCCAAGTAACAGTTACAGAAAATCATACTGAACATCTTAGGCTCTCTGGATTAAATGCTAAGGGAAGCCAACATATATGTAATATAGGTATTCATTTGCATTATGAATTCGAGTCTCAGTATGTCACCACTTCATCCCTAATCTATTTATATGTAATGTATAGAAATCAACAAAACCTGAATAGGAAGAAGAGGCAAAAAAGAGATCAGAATAAACTAATTCTTTTAAATCAATCTGTTTACTTCTAAGTATCAGTTTACCATGTTTGGCCCCTGAGCCATGAATGAGGAGGAAATGTTTAAAACAGGGTAGTCTTTGGTTTTAAATTACAGACTTGGATAACAGTCATGTTGAGATAATCCTATTTTCCTTTAAAAATCAAGAGATAAAGGAGCTTTTAAGAATATCTAGGACACTTGAGTGTAAAGATAACTAAAATTCCAGATTAAGAGAGACTGAATATTTATCAACTAAATGCAATGTATGACCTTAAATTGGAGGGAAATCAGAAACAAAAATTTACCCTGAGGACATTATTAGGTCAATAGTAGAAACACAAGCAAGATGTGGTTAGAACCTTGTTCTCAGCAAACCCACACTAAGTATTTAGGAGCAAAGAAGCATGATGTTGGAATGGCCTTTTGAATGATTTGGAAGGAGAAATCCTAACATAATGATGATGCAAACAGTAAAACAAGCATGACATCATGAGAGAAACTGGTGAATTCAAATAAAGGACAGACAGGTTCTCAGCTTATTCTTCAATTTACTGTCACTCTGAAATTACTTCAAAATGCAATTTTAAAAACAGATGGAGGGAACTCACACAGTATTTCATATGGTATGGTCTTGATTTACAGGTTGCAAAGCAGCTTAACAGGACTGTCATTTACCTAATGATTATATTTATCTATTTCAATAAGGTTATTATTATTCTAAACATTGCGGGCACAGATGCAATGAAGATTTCAAATCCTCTCAGCCAAAGGGCAAAAATTAGAAGTGGTAAACAATCCAAAACAACCATTTCAGAACTCTAAAAAGTATACAAATGAATTTAACAATTAAAAAACATTTATTTAAGAGAAATTTCTGATTCTAAGTAAAAAAGAGTCTCAAAGCATTTTAACATGGGCCTGCTCCCAGTCACACACATCCAAATTCTGTGGCAGGATAGCCTTGAAAATTAGGCTTAGCTGGCTGGCCTGGCCTGAGAGCCCCAAAGAAAAGCTGCATGCCCTCAAGCACTGGAAATGGAGCTGCAATCCACTGAGATCAAGGCAAGGCTGCCTAAGGCAGTGACACTAGTTGGAGCAAGAAAGAGTTAAGCCAGAAATTTAAAAGAAATCCAGAAACTGAGATAGTCACAAGGGACAGAAAAGCTTAAAAATCTTCCTGGGAATGTGCAAGGCTGCACACATATTTGAGAAAGACTGGAGAGAATCTGGGTACCTATTCTTCTCTGGCTGACCTTCAGACTTATAGCTAGTAAAATACAAAGTAAGCTATGCCCCACTTCACACATAGATCCCTTCAGAAAAGGGTAGAAGCCTTATGTAAGTGTTAAGCACAAATTTCGAACCATTCAGGTCAGCTGGGCCAGAAAAACAACTAAGAAGGCAAGTGCAAATAATTTTTTTTTTCTTTAAAGAGCAGCAGAGACTTCTCAGCAGTGAAACACTGTAGGGAAGACACATTCTACTGAACTGGTCTAATCAACTCACTAAATACAAAACCAGCAACCACCCTCCATCACTGAGGGAAAAGGATCAGAATTTAGAACTGCTCCAATATATTAACAAAAATAGCAACCAGGAAAGTGGGGGAAAACGTGATTTCCAAAGTTGTCACATTATACTAGTAAGTATGTCTAGTTTTCAACCAGAAAAATCAAAAGACAAAAAGAAACTGGAAAGTTTGCCCTTATACAGGGAAAAATGCAGTCAACAGAAATTATCTGAAAGCACCTAAATGTCAGATTAAAGATATTTAAATCAACTATTATAAATGTCTGAAGAACTAAATGAACAGTTTACATAATTAAAATATGATGACAGAGAATACTGATAAACAGAAATTAAAAAAAACAAACCAAATAGAGATTGTGAAGTTGAGAAAGTACAGTAATGCAATGAATATTCACAAGATGGGTCCCAAGAGCAGATCTGAGCTGGTACAACAGTGAACTTCAATGTAGGTCAATAAAGATTATCCAGAGAGTAAACTCAAAATGGATCAAAGACCTGAATGTAAGTCATGAAATCATAAAACTCTTAGTTAGAAGAAAACATAGGCAAAAATCTCCTGAATATAAACATGAGCAACTTCCTCATGAACACAGCTCCCCAGGCAAGGGAAACAGAAGCAAAAATGAACAAATGGGACTATATCAAACTAAAAAGCTTCTGTACAGCAAAGGACACCACCAGGAGAACAAAAAGGCATCCCACAGTATGGAAGAACATATTCATAAATGACATATCCGATAAGGTGTTGACATCCAAAATATATAAAGAGCTCATGCAACTCAACAAACAGAAAGCAAATAATCCAATTAAAAAATGGGCAGATGATCTAAACAGACACCTCTCCAAAGAAGAAATTCAGATGGCCAACAGGCACAGGAAAAGATGCTCCACATCGCTAATCATCAGAAAAATGCAAATTAAAACCAGGATGAGATATCACACCAGTTAGGATGGCCAACATCCAAAAGACAAACAACAAATGTTGGCAAGGATGTGGAGAAAAGGGGAACCCTCATACACTGCTGGTGGGAATTAGTTCAACCACTGTGGAAAGCAGTATGGAGGTTCCTCAAAAAACTCAAAATAGAAATACCATTTGACCCAGGAATTCCACTCCTAGGAATTTACCCTAAGAATGCAGGAGCCCAATTTGAAAAAAACATATGCACCCCTATGTTTGTTGCAGCACTATTTACAATAGCCAAGAAATGAAAGCAACCTAAGTGTCCATCAGTAGATGAATGGATAAAGAAGATGTGGTACATATACACAATGGAGTATTATTCAGCCATAAGAAAAAACAAATCCTACCATTTGCAACAACATGGATGTAGATAGAGGGTATTATGTTCAGTGAAATAAGCCAGGCGAAGACAAGTACCAAATGATTTCACTTATTTGTAGAGAATAAGAACAAAAGCAAAAACTGAAGGAACAAAACAGCAGCAGACTCACAGAACCCAAGAATGGACTAACAGTTACTAATGGGAAAGAGACTGGGGAGGATGGGTGGGAAGGGAGGGATAAGGGGAAAAAGGGGCATTAATTACGATTAGCACACATAATATTGGGGGGTGAGGGCACAGGAAGGCAGTATGACACATAGAAGTAGTGGTTCTATAGCATCTTCCTATGCTGATGGACAGTGACTAATTGGGTATGTGGTGGGGACTTGATCATGGGGGAGTCTAGTAACCATAATGTTGCTCATGTAATTGTACATTAATGATACCAAAAAATAAATTTAAAAAAATCCAAATCCCCCTTTTTGCCTGAAATGATAAAATAAGCAAGCATTAAATACCAACATTATGACTCAAGAAAAAAAAAAGATTATCCAGAGAGGAAAAACAGAGGGGGAAATACAAATGAAGAGTGCCTCAGAGCCCTGTAGGAGACCATTAATCATACCAACGTATGTAATGTAGGAGCCCCAAATGGAGAGGAAAGAGGCAGAAAAAAATACTTGTAGAAACAATGGCTGAAATCCACCCAAATTTAATGAAAAACATTACATATCCACAGAGATGGACAAATTCCAAGAAAGATAACTCATAGAAATCTACACCTATACAAATCAACAGTCAGTTGCAAGATAAAGACAGAGAAAATCTGGAAAGCACCAAGAGAAAAAAGCAACTCCGTATGTACAAGGAACCTCAAAAGATTAACGGCTGACTTCTCATCAGAAACAGTGGAGTTCAGCAGGCAGTGGGATGAAATATTCAAAATGCTGAAAGAAAAACATTCAGCTGAGAATTCTACATCCAGCAAAACTAGTCTCAAATAATCCCAGATATACAAAGACTAACATAATAAACTGCTAGCACATCTACCTTACTCGAAATAACAAAGGACTTCACACTGAAAAAAGCAACTACACTAGAAGGTAACTCAAATCTGCAAGGAAAAAAAGACCATCAAGAAACGTAATTATGCTTTATTCTTTTCTTGACTGATTTAAAAGACAACTGAATAAGACGTAACATATAAAGATGTAATCGGTAAGACAATAATAGCACAAATGAGGAAAATAAGCTAAACTAGAGCAAAATTCTTGTATCTCTGGGAATTAAACAGCATTGTCTATACTAGGCTGCTATGATTTGAGATGAATAGTGTAATGCCCAGACCCTGAAGAAACCCATCAAGGGTAGAGTGCACCTTCAAAATGCACACTGAAAACAAACTAAACATTGAGTAAACTCAATTTTCACATTTCAACACTTTAAAATACCTTTAAATTTGTATTAATGTAAACTATGTAATGAAAGACAATATAAAGAAATATTAAATTGCTGATAAAAATAAACCCTGCCTTTTTTTCTGCATTATATTTCTTTATAACTAATTCTCAGTAAAAATACAATGCATTGTATCTGACATTTCCCCTTATACAATCAAATGCTCAATAGCCTTACATAATAAATATGTTACTCTCTGCAAAAGATAAATACTTTAAATGGTCCTTGGTTAAGATTTTTTTAAATGGATGCCTTTCATTAAATGCTCACAAAATAACACAATTACAAATCAGTGCAACAGCTCTGTATGCACAGAATGCATTAAAGTTGTAACAATGACTATTCTTTCTGAATATACTGTATCCTAAACAGATTAGGAATTTTTAAATAGAACTGAACAAGTATCACACCCTGAAATTTAAAAAATTTTTTTGAAGTTCTGCAATAACCAATTCACCTGATACTGTTGTTAGCTTGACTGACACGGTTACAGTTTTGTTGTCTCTTGAACCTCTGGCTTCTTCGAAGTTTCTCACTGAATTTTTGACCAATTTTAAAATCAGAGGAGATTTTCTTCATTTTTTCTTCAAATAAGGCAGACAATCTCAAGGTCATACTGTAAATCTGAAAGGATATGAAAGCAAAACTAGAACTACAAAATACCTTCTGAAATTTTTTTCAGGAAAATTTTCATCATTGAGGCTACTTGCAACGTACTGTATCACAGTGATAGGTAATGTCTGCTCCTTATTTTATCTACTTCCTCCCTTCCCTTCAATGATATCCACAAGAAACAGAAAAGCAGTTTCTGCTTAGATTTAAAAAAAAAATCTAGGGCTTATGTCTATGTCAGTGGTTCTCTATTGGTTTTGCCCATTATCACATCTATGTATACAAACTCAAAATATGTCCCTTTCTCCTTTATACCAGCCTCTATTTTCAATTTAACTGCCTTCGATGACACATCTAAATGAAATTACAAGCAAATGTCTTACATCCAGTAGAAGCAAAATACACCCTAGAACATTTATGTATGTGAAAAGATGGTGTTTTAATAATTTTTACAATTAACATCAAATTTTTTAACACCAATGTGATGTTAAGTGCACTATACATAACTTTTGGTAGAAGTAGTATTCTTTATATTCATCTACAATCATATCTGAAAGTAAGTTCAAAAGTCTAATGTTCACAGTTAGGATGGCCAATATCCAAAAGACAAGAAACGACAGATGCTGGTGAGGATGCAGAGAAAGGGGAAGCCTCCTACACTGTTAGTGGGAATGTAAATTGGTTCAATCGTTGTGTAAAGCAATATGGAGGTTCCTCAAAAAACTGAAAATATAAATACCATTTGACCCAGGAATTTCACTTCTAAGAATTTACCCAGAGAAAACAAGATCCTTGATTTGAAAAGACATATGCACCCCTATTTTTACTGCTGCACTGTCTGCAATAGCCAAGACATGGAAGCAACCTAAGTGTTCATCAGTAAATGAATGGATAAGTGGTACAGATACACAATGGTATGGTATTCAGCCATAAAAAGAAAAAAAATTCTACCATCTGCAACAACATGGATGGAGCTGGAAGGTATCATGCTCAGTGAAATAATCCAGGCGGAGAAAGACAAGTACCAAATGATTTCACTCATTTGTGGAGTATAACAACAAAGCAAAACTGAAGGAACAAAAAAGCAGGAGACTCACAGACTCTAAGAAGGGGCTACCAGTTACCAAAGGGAGAGGGGTTAAGGAGGTTGGGGTGGTGAGGGAGGGAGAAGGGGATTAAGGGGCACTTTAATTAGCAATCACAATATAGGTAGATCACCAGGAAGGCAGTACAGCACTGAGAAGACAAGTAATGACTCTACACCATCTTACTACACTGATGGACAGTGACTACAATAGGAGGGGGGAGACTTTGATAATACAGGTGAATGTAGAAAGCACAATGTTGTTCATGTGAAACCTTCATAAGACTGTATGCCAGTGACAGTTAAAAAAGTCTTATGTTCAAAAGCTAAATATCAATTGCTCTGATACATTGCAAAGGAGGGTGGAGAGACTAACACTAAAGAACCTTAAAAAAAAAATATGTGCGATACTTGAATTTCCTATACATTTCATGAATATACATACACAGATGTATATAAAAAGTAAAAATGTAAAATTTATAATCCTTCATCTTTGAAATCATTTTTGACACTTCAGTATTTTGTACATATATTAGATGTATTATTTTCCTTCAAACCTGAATTCTAACATGTCACCTATTGTGACAATAGTGATTTTTTTCTTAATCATACTAAGTTTGAAACATCTATTGCCATTTTCATGTTTTCTCATTAGTTTTATATAAAATTCAGCAATATGTTTGAATTGAACATAAATATTATTTAACAAAAATGGTGTTAAAATTATCCGCTTCTCAACTTAACAAAGGGTATGTATGAAAGACCCAGTTAACATCATGCACAATGGTGAAAATACTGAACATTTCCCTAAGACCAGGAATGAGACAAGGATACCTGCTTTTACCACTACTATTCAACACTGTACTATAAATTCTAACCAGAGCAATTAGACAAGAAGATCATTCAAATTGCAAAGGTAGAAATAAACCTATATTCACAGATGACATGGTTCTATACATAAAAACAGATATTTCACAGGAAAGTTATTGTCACTAATTAAGAGTTCAACAAAATTATAGGGTACAAGACCAACACACAAAAACCTTTGTATTTCAATATACTGATGAGCAATCACGAAAGGACATTAAAAAAAAGCAATTACATGTCAAATAGATTCTGAAACAACAGAATTTCTGGGAATAAATTTAACCATGGATATATAAGACTTGTCCCTGAAAATTACAAAACACTGTTAGAAGAAATTAGACATAACTGAACAAACACATGCCATATTAAGGAATAGAAAGACTTAGTATTGTCAAGATGTCAATACTGCCCCCAAAGCAATGTACACACACAATGCAGTCCCTATAAAATATTCAACAACCTTTTTTTTTTTTTTTTTAAACAAATGGGAAAAGCTAAACCTCAAACTCATAGTTAATTGCAAGGGACCCTGAGCAGCCAAAACAATCTTGAAAAAGAACACAATGGGAAGACTCACACTTCCTGATATCAAAACTTCCTACAAAGATACAGTTAAACACTATGGTACTGACATATTTACAGATGAATGGAACAGTATATCTGTGGCTGATTTTCAAAAAGGGTGCCAAGTCCATTCAATGGAGAAAAAAAAGTTTCTTCAAACTATAAAACAGTGAACTGGACCTCTACACAATGTATAAATACTAGTTCAAAATGGATCAACAACTTAAATATTAAGAACTAAACCATAAAACTCTTAAAAGACACAAAATTACAAATGTAGGATTAAACTTACATGAAATGTCTACAACAGGCAAATTCACAGAGACAGAAAGTAGATGGTTATCAAGGGCTAAGGGAAGGGGAGAGTGTGGAGTTACTGCTTAATTATTACAGTTTGCGGGTAATGAATTTTAGAAATAGCAGTGATTGTTGAACAAAACTGATAGGTGAATTTAATTAATGCCACTGAATTGTACACTTAAAAAAGATTAAAATGATAAATGTTCCATCATATATATTTAACTGAAATTTTCGAAGATTTGCTAATATACTATATCAAAAACCATTGTGCTTCACATGGGTGTGTTATGTCATGTTAGCTCAAATACCTATTTTAAAAAGCAGGGAAAGATATGAATGAAATTATTTTCTCCCCAGAAAGAAACAGTCTCATGAATGGTGAATAGCAGTTACTTTACAACATAAAGCTTGGGAAAATGTTAGGTTTGAATATTAAACTGATCCAATTGCAATTTGGATATTGAATGCAATCAGAGTTCTCAAATTGAGACAAAAATTAAGTAATTAATTAAGTGAAATTATGGCAAAACGGTAATGGTAGTGATAGTCACTGCCAAGAGACCAAGAAAATGTAGTATTATTAAGCAAGTGCTCTACTTTAAAATCTTACGTTTCAAACTATAGCGATTTTAATTAGCCAGCACATTAGCTACAAGGGTTTGTGAAAATTCATGACGAGTACATGTGCACTTTAAGAATTGTTTATGCTTCAACACATTCTGAAAAGTTATCCAACATATATATAAAATTTTGGCAGAAATTTAGGAATGTACTCTCTATGTTCTTCATCCACTAGACAGCTCGTGTGTTTCTTTTTTGAATCCAAATGCCATCAGTAGTCCTGCACCACTTCATATTTTCCTTTTCTTTTAATATTCTTAGAGTCTCCATCAGTAAGCTTCCAATCCACTTCTCAAGATTTCCACATGTATGAAAATAATTTTTCTCATTCTATGTATCTAATTCAAATCTGCTCATTTTTCACTAGTGCCCTCATTAATCCTAATTTTTTTACAAAACTTAAAGAAAAATAAACATTAATTATTGTATGTTTAGGCAGCAGATGTCTAGGCAGTTGCAGGAGCTCTCCTAGTAGCAGCCTTATTTTATTAACTTGTTTGATGTTTCAACGTGTACCAGTGAATTCGTCACTAGAAAATTATCATTTACAAGATCATGTATACTCGTTTTATGAACCACTTTTAAATTTACCTTTGATCTTTTGTTTGGTGTATATGCTTTTGCATTGCTAAATATCAACCGGATGTCTTTGCAAAATTCCAAAGGGCTGTCATAATTTCCCGCTTCTAAAGTTTCCCTTACTGTTCCAAAATCCATTGGAGTGTCTATAATATCTCGGTAGTCCTAGATTTTAAAAACAGTAATTAGTTCAAAGATTCAATTCCTGCTTTTAGAAATGTTAAGTGCATCAGATCTCTAAAATACTCAAAATGACAGAAGAGGGAAAGGGTAGCAGATCTTAAGAATCAGCAGTAATTTTTAAGAAGCCCAGACATACAGAGAAGAAACATACCAAAACATTACAGTTGGTAGCAGGATAAGAAATGGTTTCTACTTTTGTCTTCATGCTTGTCTATAATTTCCATGTTTTCTATATACCTCTGTGCTTTATTTTATAATCTCACTTATTTTTAAGTGTCATTTTCCATTCCTCTACTGGAAGAATGAAGACACATGCTTTTAACCAATTTGTAGTTATCCTGGGTCTGGGCCTACTTAGACAATAGATAACCAACCATACAGAATCCTCCCCACTGTGTGACAGTGATGAACTAAGTCTTAACCCACATTTCAAGAATGTCTATAAATTCAAGAAAACTGTGTAAAACAACTCTATAGCTGACTTAGTATCAAGAGAAAAAGTTAACATGAAGCCCCAACATCTCCCTCAATTAGAGCTGAATTTAAATAAATCTACACAAGCTCCTCTACACAAAAAAAAAGAAAAGCCTCAAACATTCTAATAATGGAAACTTACTGGATATTCAACCAAATCAACTGGTTGTCTAAATGGCTCTGAATCTTCACACTGAAAAATTAAGTTCACTAATTCCTTACACTGTTTCTTCCAGTTGCTTTCAACATAGTTGGTTGCTTTGGTGCTCCTTTTTTTCCAATTATGGACCTAAAAATACATACAATATTAAAAGTTTCTCAATCTTGGTAAAGTCACACTGTGATATGTAGTATGATGGTAAAAAAAAAAAAAAAAGATGTTGTCTTTTGTGTTATTGTCATAAGAATGTGGCTACTTTTTCTGTCCAGTTGGAATAATGTTGCCCTCTGTTACTCTGAAAACATTTTTCATTCAAGCACTTATCTCCCAGTTTAAATAATGTTTTCACAGAATATGAGGTATCACACTGGATCATGTGCTAGACAAAATAATGGCCCCAAATGGTCTACATCCTAATTCCAAGAACCTGTGACGACCATGTCACTTTGCATGGCAAAAAGGACTTGGCAGATTGACTGAAGGTGCTGATCCTAAGATGGCAAGACTGTCCTAGATTACCAGGTTGGTTATAAGACTGAGGCAGAAGGGTCAGAATCAAGAGATGGGAAGATGCTACACTGCTGGCTTGAAGATGGCAGAGGGGCCACAAGCCTCTAGAAGCTGGAATACACAAGGAAAACAGATTCTACTGCAGTTTCCAAAAGGGAACACAGCTATGCTGTCGCTTTGATTTTAGCCCAGTGAGATCCATTTCCAACCTCTACAGAACTGTAAGATAGGATTGTTATGTTTTAAGCCACTACATTTGTAATTTGCTACAGCAGCTATAGCAAACAAATACTAAACAGACACTAAACACTTGGGAGTCTGTTTAGAAATGAAATTATGTGAAAATAACAATCAGATGACAATAATTCAAATCTAACTTTGCAATGTTATTTGGGGATAGCATAGTAGGAAAAACTAATGTAATATAAGCTTATATTTGAGGAGCATTTGAATTAAATTTAAAATGGTGACATTTTTTAAAATTAATGATCTTTACTTTTAATTAACATATTATATTAAAACTTCAAGAGCTACTGGTGACACCACAGTTCTCCAAACATCCAAAACTTATTCCATATATTGTTCTCCCTAATCCCATGTTCCCCAACAATGCTCATTTTAACAACAGGTTCAGTCACCAAATCCTAGTTAATTTTTCCTTTAAAAAGGTCTCATCTTCTTCCCTTCCTCACCATTCCAAGCAAAAACTATCCTTGACTAGATTCCCATCTTCATTCCTAGATGTATGCAATGAACTCTAGACTTCCTTTTTAATACCTACCCTTTTGTCCTCCAGCATCTATTTATCTATTTCGGCTATGCAATTGATTCTCTAAATGTAAATGAAATCCCTGGTGTTCAGTATCACCATAATCTGCTTCCAACCTAATGGCAGACAGAGCAACTTTCTTTACTCCCACGTTCATCCCCAACAACCCATCAGACCAATGCCCTCATGAGTCAATCAACATAACAACTCTCTACTTCTCTGGCTTGGATCATAATATCCCCTACTTTTTAATGTCCCCTTACTGTCTCATTCTGCGAATGTAGTTCAAATCCCAATTATTCCACTAAACTTTACCACTACCCACCTTTCGTAATTTCTCCCATTTCACTTACATAATGTTCACTAGCAATATCAATGTAACTTTTCAAAGACAACACTTAAAGCTAAGGGTGACTTTAAAACAAAGGATAAGTGAACAACAAAAGCCAATAAGGCAATTAACTTACTTTCCTTCTTCCCAAAGATGTTTTTGGAAGATCACTGTCATCCTGGGAATAAAAATCAGAGCACCTTCAGTATTAACACTCTCATTAAAAATGTAAGAATCTTAACAAAAAGCACATGAAAAACATTAGGTCTTATGAGGGTTATAACTTGTTATAAAAATCTCAGAAGACAGACTATCAGATGACCTTTGTGCCACCCAGACTCCAACAAAACAGCCATTCTAAAAAACCCTAAATTTATACCCTGTTAAGTCCAAAAAGTAGCTATAAAAAGTGACTTTGTGCACAATATAAACAGAACATGCACAAGCACCTTTACCTGTGTGTTTTACCTCCATTTATAAAACCCCAGAAACCATCTCCTACAGTTCCTGGATTTCATACTCCACATATTTTCTTATTCCCTAAACCATTTTTATCCCAATATAAATTATGAAAAGCAGTGAACTACAAGTTTGTGTAAAAATTGACACTATTGTGTTTTTAAAATATATCCATACTGCAATTCCATTATTAACAGCCTGATTCTGTATGAGTGAAATCACACATCATACAACTTGCCTTAACTTACATCCTCAATACCATCCTGAGGGAATGACTTTAGGGAACTCTGAACAGGTAAAGTTCACTAATTTTTTATTGCATTTAAACCCAACTCTCAGTATGGGTTTTACCAAAAATATTTCCAAGGTTATTTCTTATGTTTTCCTCTAGCTACAATTTAGAAAGAGAACGTATTTCTCAGCTACACTTACTCATTGGTCATATTTTGCTTATTTGTTACCAATTACTGGCTAAAACTATCTCACTGACCATCTAATTCAAAAACATATTTTCATCAAGTGCCCTATTTTGATACTTCATTAGAATATAACAAGAATTGATACAGGTAACCAACATATTCTACCTTACTCATTTTTAAAGTTACCGTTTGAGAATTAACAAAAGTCATTTTAAAAGTGACAGAATTCATACCAAATCCTCAGCATTTTGCTCATCATTTTCAGAAGTGTTAGAAAGTTCTGAGATACTTGTACAGTCTTGATTCCTATAAAACAATTTTTTACTTTTTTAACAGTATGCAAATGTAGTTACTATTGCTAAAGATTCAAACTGCAGGTTAAGGTAGAAAACAGTTCTCCAACTATGCATATCTAATTTCAAGCAGAGGAATATCAGGTTTTAACCCTTAGTGTACACAACTGACCATTTCAGAATACTGAAAGCTTTTTAACAGTTAAGTATGTATAGAAATGAAGCTGGTAATCCAGAAATAACATATGGATGGCCACAACTGGGTGAAAACATGATGAATTTTTCTAAGTATCATCACTAGTTATATTTGTACACTGAGTACCAGGTAAACGGCTAATTCAAGATAAGTGAACAGAAGGCAAAAAGCAGAAATTAGAGCAAATTATTCTTAACCTCCCTGTACACAAAGAAGACAGAATGCTACAGTAGAGCTATCTGGGCATGAAGGAAATGAAAATGGGTATGTGATCTCCCTGAAATAAAAGAGAGGATGAGGTAGTATGTCCAAGTTCTTCAGATATAGAGTAGATTCATGACAGGAAAGTGAGACAAACTAGAATCAGTTATTCCCCAGTTTGTAGCTAGGTGCTGAAAATGGTAAGACAGTTTATAATCTACCTTCTCCAATATATGATTCTTTTAAAGACTTTTTATAATTATGGGGAAACGGTATATAACATCACATAGCAGAACTCATTAATTCTAAAAGAAACAGGCTGAGTGATTTGTTTAAAGTCAACACAAAATGTTCACCAGGACAGATGGGGTCAGAACCTGGATCTCAATTTCCAAATCACTTTTCATCCTACTATTCCAAACTGATTTCTCAATGCAAGAAAGTGTTTGGAATATTCATTCATACATATAATACAAGCACACTTAGAAGATACAATCCAAAATAGATTAAAACTCAAGTCTAATCATAAGACAACATCCAACAAACCCAAATTCAGTACACTCTACAAAATAAGTGGCCAATACTCATAAAAAAATGATCCTGAGAGAGAGGAACCACTGGGCAGCAGACAAAAGCAGACTTAAGAAAAAAAAGACAATGAATGCAATGCAGACTCAGGATTGGATCCTGAAACAGAAAAAGGACAGAGACACAAAAACTGAGTAAATCCAAGTTCATTCTACACTTCAGTCAATAGTATTGCACCAAGGATAATTTCTTAATGTTTCATTAAGGACACCATAGTTTTGTAAACTGATAACCCCAAGGGACAACTTGGTGAAGGGTATATACAGGACAAGTCTCTATAACATTTCTGCAAAATTTTTAAATAGTAGAACAACTGGGTTGCTCAACTTCTCGTTCCTTTACTGAAATTATAATCACAGTAAGTATGTAAAGAAATGTTATTTAACATAACACATATAAAGGGTTAATTAAGAAAGCAAAATTAAGAACCAGGCAATTCCAAAAACAATGTGTAAAGTCATTTTTGCACATCTATGAAGTCACTTACCTGATAAACTTTAGAAGTTGGCCAGTTATCTTCTTTGCTGATCTTGCAATTACACTCTCAGGTTCATTAAATGTTCTGGCATTATGTTCTATATATCTGACTTCCCAAACTAATGCAGATAGCCTCCTTCAAAATACAAAGTAGACAATTGAGCGCTTAGAAAATGAAAAGACAGAAACCAAGTAAAAATATCCTTGTTAAGACAGCACAAATTAATAAATTAATTAAGCCATAAGTGCAAAGTTTTAAAGAATAACCTTCTAATTTTATCAACCTGACCACAGTCATAAGCAATTATATTGGAAGTTGAAACAGAGAATACAATTAAGGCCCAAAAATCTTAACAGATCATTTAATCACAACCAGAAAGCCAACAGAGCAGCCCTCCCTTCTCACACTGCTTATAGGTACATGTGAATCTATTGAAACTTGATGGAGAAAGCATGTTAAATACTGTCAATCCTTAAACAGTCCATCTCACTGGCAAAACAGCTTCTGACCAAATGCACATTCTTTCGTTTGACTACAGACATAAATTATACCAACAATGTGGATGCAAGAAGTCAGTTTTTTGTAATGGTAATTTCTCCAAGTAGTTGCATATAAAAAGTAAAATACTACCAACTGCTTAAAGAACCCACTGAGGATAGGAAACTTCAAGTTTTATCAGTGCTCCAGAAGTCACAGACAGAAAGCTGATGACTCAGAACTCATCCTTCAAATGCCAAAGGCCAATTATTAACTAAATTAAATTTTATTTTTAAATGAGTAGCTAATTAGGAATGTTAACATACAAGTAAAAAAAATGCAATTTGTAAGAAAAATAGCTTACTAAATATTGAGGAATGAGACATGATATTCTTTCGTTATCTGGATTCTATTCATACCTACCCACAGGCATCTATCTAACAACATCTTATACATAGAACCAAGTAAAATTACTATAATGAGAGAAGAAAATGAAACAGAAAACAATGTTAATCACCCACATTCCACCTTTGTCACCATCAATCACCACTATCTCTGTTTACTCTAGTTGGTATGGCCAAATACCTTTACAAAATATTTTTAAAGTAGGTTTCTACTACCTGTAAAATCTATTAACAAGTCTCATTCGAATTGTGTAAAGGTCAGTTGGATAAGCTACTACGGTGCAGTACTTCGGGTATGTACACAGATCAACTGGACCCGCAAAAGCTGCTGCTATATCTGTGGGAGAAACAGAAGAATTTTTTCAGGGCATTAATTAAGTGCTATTTCTCTACAAATCATCTGCAAAACAGAGCTATATTTAACATCACAGACTTATTCCAAATGAAGGAATAGAATCTGTAGTGAAGAATATAACTACAACTATGATACTTTAAAACTACGTTTATGGAAAACTTGAACATGAAACTTTCCATAGTAAAGAAAAACTTACCGAGATTCAAAAGTTCATCTATACCACTAATAATTCGTTCGCATTCTTCATCTCTTGATTTTTGACCCCATTCACCATCTTGTGGCTTGTACAGCAATTTCTCTAGCTCATCTAAAGTGACAGAAATGCTAGCTCCTAATTCTTCAGGGGGATCAACTATGAATTCCATCAAAAAAACAAAAAAAAAATCAAACCAATCAACAAATGTACATTGTAAGTTCAATAGACACAGCTCATAAATAAGACACTATAAAGAAAAAAGTACTTACTGTATAGCAGAGAAACATAGCAGACACCACCTAATCAAATGATTAAAGTTAACAACCCCCGTCATAGGAAAAAGTGATATTCTGTGCCTCCTGATATGATATATTGAAAGGACTACAACATTGGGCCTATGAAAAACTTGCCAAAACACGGGCCCTGAGTTTAATTATGAAGAAATATCAGGTAAGTCCAAACTGAGGAAAATTCTAGAAAATAACAAGCCAGTCTTCAAAAATATCATGGTCATGATATGGCAATAAAATCTAGTGTGTGAAAGGACATTAGGACAAGAGTCAAAAATAAGGTCTAAATATTAGAATTGAATCAGTGGTAATTTCCTGATTTTGAGGACAGCACTGTAGCTATATAAAATATTAAGATTTGAGTAAACTGAGTATTCAGAAATTCTTTGTACTTTTGTAATATTCTATAAGCCTAAAATTATTTCAAAATGAAATGTTAAAAAAGTACAATAAAAACTGGTAATAGACCAGGGCATATTTTTGAAAAAGAAAAAGAGGCAATGTAAATATTCAGGGAACATTTTTATGAAAATTATAAATAAAAGGAGAAAAATGTCAAGAGGACTAGAAGATAAACTTGTCAGTCTAACAATCCGATTGGTAAAACGATGTTTTATCATTTTTAATATACAATTTACAAGACTGTTAATGCAACTGAGCCTCTCTCCATAGGCCCTCCAGAATTATTATTCTTCCTGCTGTCTTTTGACAATTCTAAATGCTTACTGGCCTCATCAATGTGTAAAATCTCTTTATAGAAAGTGCTTTCACTGATTTGTAATATCCTTTGCAAAGGAGCCAGATGGCTTGGGTGAAAATCCAAACTCCTGTCCTTTCTAGATATGTGTGACTTTAGACAACTAGAAACTCTCTTGAGCCTTTTGTTGTTTCTCTATTAGTAAGATTAATTACAGACCATGAACTATGGAGTAGGATTAAAAGAATTGATACATACAAAGTTCTAAGAAATAGAGAAGACCTCAAAAAACAAGTTTTTGTCATATGCTTTATGTATTGCATAAATAATTTCATATTGCTAAATGTTGTAAGATACTAAGCTCAAAAGAAAATCTAACAAAGGGAATTATTTGTGACTTTCAAGAATGCAGTTATTAGAAAAGAATTTTTGGAGAAAAAAAAACATAAAAAACCCTCATTTCCATAAAAATCCTTATTTCCAAAGTAAAGCCAAGATAATGGTTGATGGAGATGTTACACGAAGTGAAAGGGCTGGCCCCTAAGGCAGATGCAGGAAAAAGTCATGGAGCAAAGATTTCAGAAGTCAAAAATGGTAGAGGTGAAGGACAAAAGTTTGTTTTTATGTTGAATAAACACTAGCAGAAAAGAAAGCTTCACAGTGAAGATATGGAGGCAAAAGATGCAGAGCACCTCTTCAAAAACTTTAGCAGGAGGAAAATAGATGAATGACTAACACGTTCAATAAAACCAAATGGAAGACAGAGACAAATCCTAATTCAAATGGAGAAAGGGAGAAGAATACTACAAGCGTCAGAGGGAATGAACAAAGCATGAGGAACAGGTCCAACAGAAATTAAAAGCAGGGGGATGGCAAGCCCTGGAGGCAGCAACTGCTTGGAACAGAGACATCTACAGCTTGCAGGAAAGGAACCGGCAATCCACAGGAACACAGAACTGAGTTGAGGTAAAGCAAAAGACAGATGGAAGTCAATCTGGAGCTTTTCTGAGGGAAGAACAAGGGTCAAATTGCGTAAGGACAAGGAAAGGGAAATGGCAGCCACACTGAAGGAGGTCAGGAAGTTTTAAGTCAGGGTTACATGAACAATGATCCTGACACACTAACATACAACCAGCATCAAGCTGGAAATAGGGTAAGAATTAATGAGCCAGATACAAACAATTCTGCTGACCTCTTTTAGTAAAGTTCATGATTATAGTAACAATTTGAAAACATTTATCAAAAGAATACAAATGTGCTCTGTGTGCCATTAGTTAAGACTAAAAATTGAAAACAAAGGTGATATATTTTCATTACTTAAAAATTACATACCATTATCAGGAATTGGTTCCATATCCCAGGGGCTAAGTTTTTCTATTTCAGTATTGTCCCACCTTTAAAATAAAACATAAGTCTGGTTAGCCTTTCATAAAGACAACTTAACTGCTAAAAACTAGGTGTCTACTACAAGAGTAAACAAAAAGGTAGAAAATGTTAGAGTCAACTCATTGGAGCAATGAAAGTTTAATTAGCAGTTTTTTTAAAGATACACTGTAAAAAGGAAGTGTAAAAATGTACTGCAGATTAAAGGACAAAACAAGATGGCGGCATGAGTAGAGCAGCAGAAATCTCCTCCCAAAATCACGTAAATTTTTGAAAATACAACAAAGAAAACTCTTCCTAACAGAGAGAGAGACCAGAAGACACAGGACAACAGCCAGACCACATCCACACCCGCGAGAACCCAGAGCCTTGCGAATGGGGTAAGATACAAGCCCTGACCCGGCAGTACCTGAGGGGCCCACACCCCAGCTCCCAGCAGGAGGAGAAGAGTCGGAGTGGGGAGGGAGAGGGAGCCCAGGACTGCTAAATACCCAGACCCAGCCATCCGCACCAGAGCACAGACACAGTGCATGCATGAGGTGCTGGAAACTAGGGAAAAAGGACAGTAAGACCTGTGAGCGGGTCCCTGCAGACGTTGCACCCGGGACAAAGAAAAGCGAGTGCTTTTTGGAAGTCTTAAAGGGACAGGGACCCCACAACCGGACAGAAGCATCCTGGGACACTTAGTCCAGCAGCAGGGAATCTGGGGATCTCTGGCCACTCTAACCCCCTGGGCAGCAGGGAGCACGGAGGCCCCTCACGGAGATAAATAGCCTCCAGCTGTTCCCCCTCCAACACGGCTCCACCATATCAGAGCAGGAGCCCAAGGCAGGCTACGCGCACTGCAACAGCAGAGATAAGCTCCATAGCAGCCTGGCAGGACGCCCCTGTCTGTGCGCAGCTGCCCAGCACAAGCCACTAGAGGTCGCTGTTCTCCCAGGAGAGGAAGGCCATAAACCAACAAGAAGGGAAGTTCTTCCAGCCATCACTCGTGCCAGCTCTGCAAACTATCTCTATCACCATGAAAAGGCAAAATTACAGGCAGACCAAGATCACAGAGACAACACTAGAGAAGGAGACAGACCTAACCAGTCTTCCTGAAAAAGAATTCAAAATAAAATTCATAAACATGCTGACGGAGATGCAGAGAAATATACAAGAGCTAAGGGATGAAGTCTGGAGGGAGATTACAGATGCCAGGAAGGAGATTACAGAAGTGAAACAAACTCTGGAAGGATTTATAAGCAGAATGGATAAGATGCAAGAGGCCATCGATGGAATAGAAACCAGAGAACAGGAAAGCATAGAAGCTGACACAGAGAGAGATAAAAGGATCTCCAGGAATGAAACAATATTAAGAGAACTGTGTGACCAATCCAAAAGGAACAATATCCACATTATAGGGGTACCAGAAGAAGAAGAGAGAGGAAAAGGGATAGAAAGTGTCTTTGAAGAAATAATTGCTGAAAACTTCCCCAAACTGGGGGAGGAAATAATCGAACAGACCACGGAAATACACAGAACCCCCAACAGAAGGGATCCAAGGAGGACAACACCAAGACACATAATAATTAAAAT